TTTCCACCAGGCCAGCCCCCTCCTCACCTCTGAGCCTTTGCATATCCTGTTCCACCCTGCCCAGCACACTCTTCCCTTGACTCTTCAGAGTAACCCTTTCTCATCTTTTTTTTTTTTTTTTTTTTTTAAAGATGACCGGTAAGGGGATCTTAACCCTTGACTTGGTGTTGTCAGCACCACGCTCACCCAGTGAGCAAACCGGCCATCCCTATGTGGGATCCAAACCCGTGGCCTTGGTGTTATCAGCACCGCACTCTCCCGAGTGAGCCACGGGCCGGCCTTCCTTTTTTGTAAAATAGGGATATAACAGCAAAAGATTTAATTCCCTTCAAAAGGTTTTATTCCCATAAAGAGCTTAAAACACACCTAGTACACAGTCCATGAATGATATCATTATAATAATGGTGATGATCATTTATTATTCCCGGCTCCCTTTCTCATCCTTTAGCTCTCAGCTTACCTGTCACCTGGGCAGTGACATCGGCTGAGCCCCTCCCTGTGGGCCGGGCTCTCAGGAAGCATCTCTGGGTCTCAGGAAGTGCACCGTGCATAGCTATGTCGTCCACCCTGCCTCCCAGCTCCTGGTACTGAGGCCCTGTGTTGGGATGATTCTTTGTTTTATTTATGGCTGGCCAGGATGGGGGTGATGGAACCCTTGACCTGGGTGTTATCAGCACTGCACTCTAGCCATTGAACTTCCCGGCCAGCCTCCCTTACTAGACATGGGGGTTTCTGTTCAAAGAGCTGGCAGTGAAAGAGACGTGAAATTTGGGGCCAGAGCATTTCAAGGCAGTGGGCGATAGCATCTCACCTGCTGCGTGAGGCCCTGAAGGTCCACACCGAGGTGGCGACACTCCCTGCCTGTAGCCCCGAGTGGCCACCTGGAGCAGAGTCCTGCCTGCTGCTTGCTCGGGCAGGAGTGAGAAATGAAAACGTCTTGTATGGAACCAGCGAGACGTGGGGGCTGCTCGTGACAGCCTCAGCCAAGCTGTCCTGCCCGGCGCTGTGCTCTTGTCTTATGGTAGTGACCCTTCTCGCGGCGTGGGGGACGCTTCTGGCTTTTGTGCAGGATGAATTCTCACCCACACTCATGACCGCGAAGTGGCTCCCCTCAGTAGGGGTGCCCAACACAAGACAAAGGCAGTTGTGATATACATTTTATTTCCCCAAATCCCGCAGGGGAAGGTGTGGGGTGGCCAGAGCCGGGTGGGGTTCAGTGCTCACAGGCCTGGCTGGGGACGGGGTTGTGGAGTCTGTCCCCGATGCCCCTCCCCCAGGAGTCAGGCTGGGCATGCAGGAAGATGGTCTCAGTATACCACCTCGTACACAGTGGCCTTCTTGTCCCCTGAGCCTGTCACAATGTATTTGTTATTCCTGGAGATGTCACAGCTCAGGACCGAGGAAGATTCCTTGGACTGCCAATGGGGAGGAGGAGACGCAGAAAAAAGGAAGAGGCCACATGAGGCCCAGCTTGCCAACCTGTGCCCAGGGACGAGGGTGTGGCCAAGGCTGGGACAGAGCCAGGGCTCTCCTGGGGGCTGTGGGGCAGGGGGAAGATGGTGGCATGTTTTCTAGATGTAGGTACTTCGCAGCTAAACCTTTTTGGACAGGTGATCTGGCAAGAGCAGGGCCTCCATTCCCTGCACACCAAGAGATGGAACTGAAGTGCTGCCCTTGCCCAGGAAGCTCAGAGAGGGTGTGCACCTGGCTGAAGGTCACACAGCACAGGTGACAGCCAAAGCTCACAGCACGATGGACTAAGGGGTGTCAACCTTTGTAAAGAGCCTGACAGTAAATACTTGAGGCTTTGCCTGAAGTCAAAATAAAGTGTCACATATTCTATCCGTTATTTTTCACAACTCTTTAAAAATGGAAAAACTCCATGTCCATGAGGGTGGCTATAACAAAAAACACAGACGATAACAAGCATTGGTGATAATGTGCAGAACTTTTAAACCTTGTTCATTAATGGTGGGAATGGAAAATTTGGGGAAAAAAAGGGTTATCAGAGAATTGCAGTTTTTTTTTTCATCTTAACCATGGTAAGTGCACAGCTCGGTGGCATTAAGCACATTCACACGGCTGTGCAGCCATCACCACCATCATCTCCAGAACTTTCTCATCTTCCCAAACTGAAGCTCTGTCCCCATTAAAGATAGAAAAAAAAATGATTAAGATGGTACATTTTATGTATTTTACCACAACTAAAATTAAAAAACCATGGACTGTGGGCAGATGTGGACCTAGGGCTTTGCCAAGCCCTGCTTTGGTAGTTGGGTGGACGGGAGGCTGCAAGACCTTGGGGAGGGGTCAGGGCAGCAAGTGGGTGGCCCCAGGGGACAGGAGCGGGGACGTTCCCTATAACCGCATTGCAGCGACCTGGTGCACCTGGGCGCACGACGTCCTGCCAGGTACCTGGAAAATGCTGGCTCCGTAGGGCGTCCTCCAGGCATTCAGCAGGTTGTCCTTCCCGGTGCTCACGAACCACCGCCCTAGGAAGGAGAGCAGCAGAAGTTCCAGGAGGGAGGCCCTCAAGAAAGTCCAGGGCTGTGGGGGACGCGGTAAGGGCCGGGGCTCGACTCTCCCTTTCTTTCTGAGCATCTCACTCGCATTTAGGGAGTGGGAAGCTCCTTAGGTCGCTGGATCTCAATCCTTCCGCCCATTTTCCAGATGGCAAAGTCAAGGCTCTAAAGAGCTCCACCTGTCCCTCAAGAAGGGGCAGCCTCGGGATAAGGTTGCCATAGAAAACAGCCCACCCAGTGAAATCTGAATCTCATAAAACCCACAAATAGGGCTGGCTGGTTAATTCAGCTGGTTAGAGTGCTGCTTTGTAACATCAAGGTCAAGGGTTTGAATCCCTGTCCCATACAGAAGCCAAAAAATTTTGGGGCCGGCCCGGTGGCGCACTGGATAGTGCGCCGCTTGGGAAGCGCGGCGG